AGCTGCATACGTGTGGCCTTCCCAGTACGACGAGATTGAGGACATTCTCTCCTTGCAGACGGGCTACCGCAGTCGAGGCTTCGTCGATGGTAAGACCACTCCAAGCTCAGAGAGAGAGCCCCGAAACCAGCGTCTAACATTCTTCACAGGCGTAACTCCCTGCTCCTTCGGAGGCAACATCGCCGGCCGCCAGTTCGCCGCGGAGTGGATCCGGACCGCGTTCCACGACGTCGCCACGACGAACGCCGCCGCGGGCGAGGGCGGCCTCGACGGCTCCATCTGGTTCGAGGTCCACCGCGCCGAGAACGGCGGCGCGGCTTTCAACAACACCTTCAGCTTCTTCGCGAACCTCTACTCCGCGCGGGCCTCCGCCGCGGACCTCCTGGCGATGAGCGTGGTCGTCGCCAACGCCGGCTGCGGCGGCGCGCGGATGCCGTTCCGCGCGGGCAGGGTCGACGCGCAGGAGGCCGGGCCCGCGGGCGTGCCGGAGCCGCACACGCCGCTGAATACGACGATGGCGCGGTTCGCGGGCGCCGGGTTCGGGCAGGGGGAGATGATCTCGCTGGTGGCGTGCGGACACACGCTCGGCGGGGTGCACAGCCGGAACAACCCCGACATTGTCGATCTCGAGCCGACGCCTGACACGGTGGTGCATTTCGACAGCACCTCTGACGTGTTTGACGGCAACGTGGCGACGGAGTATGTCGACGGGACGACGACGAACCCGCTCGTCGTGAACGCGAACGCGACGCTCAACTCGGACAGGAGGATTTTTGGCAGCGATGGCAACAAGACGATCACGGAAATGGGGCGCACGGGGGATGGATTCAAGACGGCGTGCGCGGACGTGTTCACGAAGATGATTGATACTGTACCCTCGAGTGTGACCTTGACTGACCCCATCGACGCGGTTGACATCAAGCCGTATGTGAGTATGACGCTGAGCGGGAATGGGAGTATCGCGCTCAGTGGCTGGGTCAGGGTTCAGACGACGGAGGGAACTGGGCGGGATACCGCGGATCTGGCCGTCCACCTGACTTATGCTGACCGCAACGGCGACGGCGACATCGTGGTGGCCACGACCCTCGACGAGGGCGGCGTGAGCACCGGCCTTCACGGAGAGACCTTCGCCTGGTACCAGTTCGCGACGGCCGTCGACGCAAGCCGCGGCATCAGCAAGTTTCTCATCCATCTTACCAAGCCCTCCACCAACGCCACAACCATCTACAGGAACGACGGCGGCGGGTACCCGCTGGACGACGCGCTCCTGTACCAAGAGTCAGAGTCGTGCGTGAACCGGACGAGCGTCAATAACGAGCGAGCCTTCACCGTCACGGCGGCGGTGCGCAAGGAGCGCGCTTCGGACCTCGTGACGATGGACCTCGTGCGCCTTGTGAGGAGGCAGGGTGTCATTGTGCGAGGGTTAGAGGTCGATACTATCGACTTGTCGGCGACAGGTGAGGAGAGGGGGGAATATGCCATTTTCGAGGGGACGACGGGGCTTGCGACAAGCGGATGGAGTACGAGCTTCGATCTTGTGCTAGGTGGCGAGGAAGAAGTCAAGGTTGAGTTTCTGAAGACGCAGGCATGTCCAAGGTCATGAAGAAGATGACGATGCTATAGAGATGAGTGCTTAGGGCAGCAAATAATACCATGAAGCTCTTGACGAATCCACGTTTACTCCTTCTGACTTATTGAAAGCTGCTCGACGCGTTGCTCTTGGTTTGGTGTGGAATCACATCTCTCATCGTATATCTCGAAAGAACCCAGAACTTGCAAACCACAGAGCATGGTCCTTACACCGGCGAGGTACTCAGCCGACTTACACGGTGCGGAGTCCCCTACTTTAGCCATGCGGTACAAAATGATTGCTTTTGGAGTGGCTGAAGGTAAAATCAGAATCGAACGACATGGTTTGCTTCAACCTCGCACGACACATTTTCACATGACGGGCGGAAGCTGCCTGTGAACCCGGGGTAGCACACGTCTTCACACATCTTCAACGGCCTTCAACCACCAATAATGGACGCAATCACGTTTCGAGGCCCCTCTTGAGGTCCGATGATCTTGGTCGTTACCCCTGAGCCCCTACATCATGAGGACGGCAAAAGTTGCCGTGCTCCAAGCAAACGCCATTCTATTGCACTCGGGGAATTGCAGACAACCATGCCATTGTGTCAATCGAGCCGGGGCGTTGGGATAGCTGCATCGATAGGCGAGCCATGTGGCGTTTGAACCCCTCTCTGCCTTGGAAGAAGCAGGTGCTCAATCTGTAACCAGGGACGAAGCAATCGACGGTCGGCTCCGGGTTGCAGAGGCAGGCTTCTGGGGCGGGGACCCACGTCGATCAAGAAAGAAAACATGGGCAGCAAGCAGCCAATCTTGTCAGAAAAAGGCGGTCGGCATGGTGGTAGTGGTGTCTTGGCCTGTTGAGGGATAAAAAGAAGAACGAGTGGCTGGTGACTAAGACGCTCCAGAAACAAGCCCGGGGACGACCAGGTTGGCGGTATCCTCGGGGGTCTGCTGTTCATGGCGTTGGGGTGGGGTCAGATCGGAAATCTGGAGAGCATCCCCCGTGGTGTTGCGTTCACTGCATACGGCGCACGCATGAAGAGCAACAAGCCAAGAGAGAGGTGAGGGTTTCGAACGACTAGGAGAGGTTGAGTCCGCCAGGAGGATGAGGCACTGAGGACGGCAGTCTAAAAGCAGGACACTATAGGATCAGGGGTAGGCATATGTCGTGTGATTCACCATGCTATTGTACTGCTGTGCCACCGACCTCATGCGAAGGAAGACATATACAGACTTCTGTGGTGATGATGATGTGATGGGATTGGACTGTCGGGCTCTTGACTTCAGAAGTCCTGCGCATGCATCAGGCAAGGAAGAGGTGGGAAGGGGGTTGCGGAGGGATTGGGAGGTGTGGAAGGTTGGGACGTGGAAGGGGCTCTGGAAGTTGCGGAAAGCCGGTGTCAGAAGTTGAAAAAAGAAACGAAAAGTGCCCCGCCAGGGATATTGACAGTGACATGTCAAATGCTGTGCTGCGACGTTAGGATGGAAGGTTCCGTACGTAGTAATAGATGAGCGTCTGCGGATACGCAGTACATACGATGGATGATGCAGTGGGTTGCCTACCCTAGGTACTGCATAGTTATTGTCTTGAGGGTTCCATTGTCTCTTTTCTGCTGCTTCTGCGTAAAGCCGCATGCGGTAGCTATTGCAGAGGAGACCAGGAACAAACATCCGAGCTTGTTGATGAGCGTGCGGCATCGGGGGTTTCCACGTTTCCAACCTCTCCGTCTCCGCCGGACCTAGCCCCGGGGGAGGATAGGAAGAGTGGATGGCTAAGGGTATGATGGAACATGACGGGGTCAGACAGTACGAGGTAGGTATAGTGTGTACTAAGGAAAGGTGGGATAGGGCGGCCGTTTGAGGGTTTGGCAGTCTGTCAGATGCCGTGATGGTGTTGGCAATATGCAGCAAGGTCGCATGGCATGTTTGTCGTTCGTGTGAGCTGCTCGAGCTAACATCTGAGAAAGGAAAGGAAGGGAACGAAAGGATCCATTCTGATCCATTGTGGTGCTTCTTCCCCCTCTCACTGAAGGAACCTAATCGCAGCCCACTTGGCTTGGAAGCTGCACAGGACGTCTCGCGAGATACACTTGCAGGGTGTTGTTGACGTTGGAGTTGTAACTCAGTACTTGCAAGTCAAGTAAAGAAATCAAAAGAATTGGACCGGGGCGTCAAGAGGGCAAAATGGTAACAAGAAGCATCCAATTAAGACCGGGTGTTGTTCAAAAACGAGGCTAAAAGTGGCCTCATCAACGGTGCGGCCTTCCACCCCGCCGTGTACGTACCTTGATTCCATGCTTCTAACTGGTAGACAGGTACCTAGGTAGGTAAGAGGCTAAGGTAGGTGCAGACCTCAGACCTCAGACCTCAGACCTCGCAGCGGGCAAGCATCAAGTCGAACGCACCTGCCACGTTCTGGAGCACTCCCAAACAGGATTAGCGGCTCGTCGGCTGGACCCTGGCGTCCGCTCGGAGGGGCTCGTCCAATGGGAAGGCGTTCATACTGGGGACAAGCATGCCTGCCACACTTAGATAATCCGCAAAATCAGCCCATTCTCACTCCATCCGCCGCGCTCCAAAGCTCATGTCATGCCATTTTCCAAAATCGTTTGAAGCATCCGCGAAGCAATCTCCAATTCTGTCGAACCACCTACCTCCGCCAGCTACCGCCCAGCTATCAACACTCACCCTCGCAGTCGCAAGCTTGTCCGGTTCCTGGCGCGCCCCTCCCCTCTTTTTTTTTTTTTTCCTCCCCCGAGCAATCGCCCTCATTATTTTTTTTTCTTTTCCTCTTCTCTCATTGACACCCTTCACACCGTCTGTCCCGTGTCTCGTCTGGTCTGCAAGCCCTGGTCAGGTCTAAGGTCTTGTTTCTGGTCTGCTCGCTCGTGGTTTGCTGCTGCTTCTGCTGCACCCACTGTTCTGGTCCTGGTTTCTGATCTGCCCTGGTCTGGCTGCATACCCAGCGACCCTACCCAGTACTATTATATCTCGAATACCACCTCCGGACCCAACATTTTTCCTGTCGCACACACACACATCCTCGGACGAGAACACCACTGCACCGCTCAACGGCTGGAGCCGTACCTCTGTTTCCGCCCTCGCCTCGAGCTCGAGCTCCACGCCCGCTTTAGTGTGTGCCGTGTGTGCGTGTGTGTGCGCCAGTGTGGTGTATCCTACTTCAACTGCGCATAGCACACGAGAACCCCACGTTTACGTCCACCTCCACGTCCAACAACAAGCCAACTTCTGCCGTGCGAGCGCGGCTTTGTCTAGACAACCCGACTACTACGAAGCCTCATTGCATTGCCTTGACCTTGCATAGTTAGCCCTCCAATTACCTCGGCCCCTCCACACAACTACCTGCCTGCTGTCCCCGAAAGGCCAACCCCGCCTGTCTAAGAGACTGTGATATCACTGTACGAACTATGGCACCCGGTATACTCAATTCCGACGGTTCAATGGACGACCAGCACGCCGGCACCGCCGCCGGGCGTCTTAACGCTCTGGACGCCACCGTAGATACCCTCACTCTCCTTCGAAGCTTGCCTGAGCCTCCTATAGAGTCCCAGGTATGCGTTGTCGGCGCTGGACCTGCCGGTCTCATGCTGGCGGCCAACCTAGGCCGTATGGGTATCAAGGTTGAGGTCATTGACGACAGAGCCGATCAGACGCCTGTTGGAAGGTAGAGCGCACATCAACCACATCCGACTGTGTCGGTTCGCTAACACCCACGTAGAGCAGATGGACTCCAGCCCAAGACCATCGAGACCTTCCGCCAGATGCGCCTGGCCGATCCTTTGTTGCAACGAGGCGTCCGAGTTTACGACATTTCCTTCTGGCGAAGCACGGCCGATGAGCCTCTCCACAGACTGGGCCGCGAGATTCACTACCCTCCCATAATTGACGTGCTGGACCCCTACATTCTTTTGGTCCACCAGGGCATGGTTGAGGGCATCTTCATAGATGACCTGAAGAAGCGCGGAGTTGAGGTACGGAGGAACACGGCGTTCGAGTCCTACAGCGTACCGGAAAACAAGGCCGGGCCCCTCCAGGTCAATTGTCGCACGAACGTCACCCAAGACAGGCGGACCATTTTGACGCAGTACCTAATTGGATGTACGTCTGGCAGAGTACTCTGTTCTTCCGATGCAAGCAGCTAACTAAATCCAGGTGACGGTGCCCACTCAAAGGTTCGTAAGAGCATCCCGGATGCGCGGGCCATTGGTTTGTCGCAGCCCGCCATCTGGGGTGTTCTTGACGGCGAGCTGATTACCGACTTTCCTGATATCTGGTCCAAGACATTAGTCTACTCCCAGGAGTACGGCTCGATTCTGATTATTCCTAGAGAGAGGAACATGACCCGCTTCTACATTGAGCTCAAGGCGAACCCCAAGGCCGACAAGCGAGAGCTTGGCCAGGAGTTCGTCATGGCTCGCGCAAAGAAGATTATGGCTCCGTTCGAGGTTGACTGGAAGTACATTGAGTGGTTTGGTCGCTACCAGATTGGTCAGAGAGTGGCCAGCCGGTTCTGCGACTCCCACCTGAGGGCCTTCCTTGCCGGCGATGCCAGTCACACGCACTCCCCGAAGTCTGCTCAGGGCATGAACACCTCGATGCACGACTCCTGGAACTTGGCATGGAAGCTTAACCTGTCCATTCGCGGACTTGCGAAGCAAGCTCTTCTCGAAAGTTACGAGGAGGAGCGAAGAAAGATCGCTGTGGACCTCGTCAACTTCGACTACGAGCATGCCAACCAGATTGCCGGTGGTGACGCTGTTGCACTGGCGGAGAACTTCAAGACGAACGTCCGTTTCATCTCTGGTATCGGTGCCGAGTATGCGGAGAGTCTTCTGAACAGATCGGATCCACAGGGCCTCGTTATGGGAGACGCCAGACCCGGTTGCTTGCTCCCTCCCGCCAAGGTCACCCGCTACATCGACTCCAACCCCGTTGATATCCAGCTCGACATTCCAATGCTCGGCCAGTTCCGCATCTATCTCTTGATGTGGGATATTCAGGCTTCCAGCCCTTTCCTCGAGACATTCTGCCAGTCAATCGCCTCTGCCAACTCCTTCATCAGCAAGCTCTCTGCGTCTGCGAGTGCGTCATATGCCGCGCAGCCCAGGCTGCCATCTCCCGAGGATATTTACTATCGACCCGAGCGATACACAGCCGTTAGCCATCTCTTCACATTTGCACTGCTTAGTAAGTTGAATTGCACGTGGATCCATTCGTCGTACCTGCGCTGACAAAACCCCAGCCACCATGCCGAAGGCCGATGTGGAGATCTCAGACCTGCCAGCCCTGCTGCAGGACAGCCGCTGGACGTTCTACCTGGACGACATCCCAGAACAGGACACGCGCGGCCAGCTCTGCACCAACAAGTGGCTCGGCAGCCTCGGCCCTGGCGAGGTTGCCATCGTCAACGTACGACCCGACGGCTATGTTGGATCCGTCGGCAGGTGGGACTCGAGCATGGATGACGCCGGCGAGGAGGCTGCCCGCTGGCTTGATACTTACTACGACGGCTTCCTTCAGCTGCCCAACGGCGGCGCCTCCCCCACCCCGACAGCAACCCCCATGGCAGTCTAGACATGTCCAATCATTAATATCTAGTCTGTTCTCAGGGGCGACTATTTTGAAGCGTTTCTGTATCATACTACACATCTCACATCACGACACATAATCAAGGTGCTTGGAAACAGGGCATCACGCATTATCAAGAAAAAAGCAACGCAGGCATGAACTCATCACACTTTCTCTCTCCTTCCAACTTGTCCAGCAGGTGTTGGGGAGTGCGGCGGCGGTGCGATTGTTATCTCGGCATTTTCAGGAGCTAAGGGGGTAGAGATGGAACAGTAAGCAACTTTGCTGCAAAGCGTGCTTGGTTTCTCTTGGTATCTCTTTACGGCATTCTGGGTTTATTTTTGTGGCAGCCGATTCTCTTTTTCTTCTTCTTTTTTTCTGGGATGGACCACCATAGCCAGGCAGAGAGACACATGTCAATAGACGGAATCTTCATTGCAGATCACACATCCTTTCAGCTCCACGATGCCACGCGCAGACTGGGGCCATCATCGTGAGAACATGGCACCATGGCTTGGGATCCCTGGTGAGCTGTCATCTCCCTTTTCCCCATAAACCCACAGTGACAGCTCCCGATCCGTCCAGCAATATGCCGAGGGAACTCCTCTGGCCTTGCCCGAAGGAGCCGGTGCCGCTCGCTGCCTGCCGCAAGCTCATGGCAAGGCAATGTCCCTGCACGGCGAAGCAACGACTAGCTTTGAGGCCAGCTCCCTTGCATCAGACGACCTTCCACCCCAGCCCTATCAGAATCGTACCACGCTCACGTCCCCCGCACCGTCCTCGCCGACAACCCACCTCTCATCGCCCGCCAGCGCCGCCCCCGACATGACGGCCCTCCACATGTCATCCAGGAACTGCACCTCTGCCCGGCCTGCGTCTCCACCGTCCTCCACTGCCTCGGCCGTCGTGGTCCCACCACCATCACCAGCAGAGAAGGATCCATCCACACTCACACTGACCGTCTCCATTGCGAAGCACCGCCTGCCGCAGACCCGCACCCCCGCCGCCTCGTCGACGACCTCGGCGACCGTGAGGTATGGGAACTCCTCGTGGCGCCAGCAGGGGGCGGCGGTGGCTCGTCCAGGGCTGCTGCTGGAGGAGGAGGAGGCGGGGCAGAAGGACCTTTCCGCGTCGCCCTCGGCGCCGCACTCGTCGACCCACGCCGGGCCGAGAGCCGTGAGCGGGACGCCCGTGCTCCGGAGAAAGTGGCGCGCCGGCGGGGTCTCGGAGGACTGCGGCCCCGCGGCCCACTGGTGGTCCTCCTCCTGCAGCACGATGTTGCCGCCGCGGGCCGAGTGGGTCGTGTCGAGGACGAGGCGCATCAGGCGCGGGGTGTCTCGCTGCCGGATGCCCCAGCGGTCCAGGTCGCCGTTCGTCAGGCGCAGGACGATTTCCGGGCCGGCGTCGGTGGTGGGTTTGTGTGTCGAGGACGGGTCGAGTGAGGGTCTGTACGCGGAGGGGGCGTTGAGGGACCACACGACGAGGCGCTCGAGGGGGGTGTCCTCGCCCCAGGGGGAGCGGGTTGGCTGGTGGGCGTAGAGGGCGTAGTGTGTTGCGTTGTGCGTCGAGAAGAGGCGGTCGGAGGGGGAGAGGGGGAGGCCGAGGTAGTGGATCTTCCACTCGGAGCGGAACTCGACGATGGGAGGGGACGACGCGGAGGGGTGGAGGGACGAGGAGGTGGTGGTCACGGTGAAGGCGGACGCGAAGTGGCGGTGGGCTGTTTCCGAGTCGTTCAAGGGGTGGGAGCCGTCCTCTTCTGCCCACTCTATGACTAAGATGTGATGCGAGAGACGGACGCGACGGACGACTTTGGAGGACCAGTCAAAGGGGACGGTGGTCTCGCTGTTTGATGAGAGATCTAGGGCTTTGAAGACGGGCGGAGAAGAGGGGGCGGGGTAGATGATGATGCCATCGGAGCATGTCCACCTCCGGTCTGGGAGCTGGAGGGGGAATGTCATTTCATCGCGGCGGAGGGTGCGATTCCAGGGGTTGAAGGGGTAAAAATATTTCGCATCTTTGAGAACCGAGATGGTGGTGAGAGTGTGGTATGTGCCGGATGTGAGGCTGTGGTAGCGGCGGGCCACGGAGGCGAAGATGGCCGGCCAGTCTGGCTCTGTTGCCGCCTCTGCGTCCGGCTCCGAGGCTGGCCGATTTTTGGTTGCTACCGAGATTTGGGATCTGAGAGTGCGGCATTCTAGGGATCTGGGGAAGAAGACATGCAAGAGCGCCTGGGACAGGTCTGGTCTTGTGAGCGCAGCGTGGGACGCACGAGAGACGCGGCGGTGGAGGATTATCTCGCGGGGCTTCAGGTGAGTGAGTATGTCGAGGAAAAGGGTATCGGGAAGGTCTGTCAATTGGAACATCGTGGCCTTGTTCCTCCAGCTCCTCCTGCTTTCTTCAATCGGGCCTTGTAGGGAGGACCATTGATGGGTCTCGAACGAAGACAGTTTGAGGCGTGAATGGACACTACAAAGCTATGAAATGAAGTTACAGCTCATTTGACGCAGGGCATAATCAACATGGAATCAGCGCCCGTCAACCTTGTGTCGAGCGGAAGCCAAAAACGCTGTCGCAGGAAGTGGTCTTCAGGCTTGCATGAAGTTGAGATGCACGTATGAGACGACCAAGAATATGGATCCATATTACTAAGGTGTCGCAGGCCAACTAGACTGGCTGTTGGACGATCCTCGCAACCGACCAAGCTCTCATCAGTAGTTCAAATTATTACAACCCTCACAAGTAAGAACAAGAGATGTTCATGTCGAAATGCTTCATTTTGGCAACTATGAAAATACAATAACTCTCAACCTCATTTATCATGCGTGAACTGCTTTAAATGCCTCATCCTTTTGATCAACCTGACATTCCTTTTTCAGTCCAGCCGGTTACTTATCAAAACCCTTGAGATAAGTTTCATTAGCCCGTGTAATTCGAAACCAAAAACACCGTTATCGCTCCATTGACGGCTCGACACCCGGCTGCGGATAGCATCCCGCAAAAAGCGGGACCGGCCCCGCCGACCGGAAAGTTATCGGAACCGGACCGGGCATCGGATACCCCTCCAGAACATGATTACGATTGGGTGGGCATGGAGACGTCGGCCTTCTGCGACACAGCGTCGGCGCTGGACCACAGAGCGGTGACGGTCTTCTGCTGAGTGTAGAAGTTGATGCCGGGCTTTCCGTAGAAGGTGTTGGCACCGCCGCCGGCGATAGACTTCTTGTTACCGGTGAAGGAGAACATGGGCAGAGGGACGGGGATAGGCACGTTAATACCAATCTGGCCGGCCTCAATGTTGCGGCGGAAGGTCTCGCCGGTAGCACCGGAGCGGGTGAAGATAGCGGTGCCGTTGCCGTACTCGTTCTTGTTGATCAGAGCAATGGCATCGTCGAGGGTCTCGACGTTGAGGCAGACCAAGACGGGTCCGAAGATCTCCTCGGTGTAGCACTTCATGTTAGGAGTGACGTTGGAGATAATAGTAGGAGCAACCCAGTTGCCGTTGGGGTACTTTGCGGGCTTGAAGCCACGGCCGTCAAGCAGGATAGTGGCACCCTCATCCTCGGCGCTCTGGATCAGGCTCTCAATGCGCTGCTTGCTCTGGGGGGAGATGACAGGGCCGAGATCGGCACCCTCCTCGAAGCCACCGTTGACGCTGAGCTTCTTGGCCATCTCGGCCAGCTCGGGAAGCCACTCCTTGGTCTCGCCAACCATAACGAGGGTGCTGAGGGCCATGCAGCGTTGGCCGGCGGCACCAAAGGCAGCGCCGACGACGGCGTTGAGGAACTGGTTCTTGTTGCAGTCGGGGAGGACGGCGGCGTGGTTCTTGGCACCCAGGTTGGCCTGGACACGCTTGCCATGGGCGGAACCCTTGTTGAAGATGTACTCGCCGGCCTTGTTACCACCGACGAAGCTGACAGCCTTAATAGTGGGGTCCTCGAGGATGAAGTCGACCGTCTTGTGGGCACCGTGGACGACGTTGACAACGCCCTCGGGGAAACCTGCCTTCTGGCAAAGCTCGGCGAGGATCATGGCCGCACCGGGGTCGCGCTCGGAAGGCTTGAGGATCAGGGTGTTGCCGGTAACGGTGGCGATGGGGATGCACCAAAGCGGAATCATGGCGGGGAAGTCTGGACAGTTAGCTTCACTTTCACTCATCACTTACACAAGAGGCAACTCACTAAAGGGGCAAATGGCAGCCACGACACCCAATGGCTCGCGGTAGCTTCTCGTCTCCATGTCCTTGGCAACCTCCAAGACCTCACCCTTGAGGAGCTCCGGGGCACCGCAGGCAGCCTCGGCGACCTGCAGGCCACGAAGAACGTCACCCCTGGCGTCGGCAAAGGTCTTGCCCTGCTCGAGGGTGATGCTCGCCGCGAGACGGTCCCAGTTCTCACGGATGAGCGCAACAAACTTGAACATGATCTGCTGGCGGGCGAGAACGCTCATGGCGCGCCACTTGGGAAACGCCGCCTCGGCAGACGCAACGGCGCCCTGGAGCTCCTCGGTGGTCATCTGCGGGACGCGGGTGACGAGGTTGTTGGTAGCGGGGTCATGCAGGTCGATGAAGTCGGTGGCCTTGGAGGTCACAAACTGGTTGTCAATGAAGTAGGGGGTATCTTCGGGCTTCGCGATCTTCTCGTGGGTGTTGGGGTACGACTCGGCTGTCGAGGCGAGAGCAGCGTTGAGGTGCTGCGCCGTGGCGTGTATCCTCCTCGCCGCAACGGCGGGAACAGACTTGGAAGCCATTGCTGGTGAGGAGAGAATGGAAGAGCGGGCGAGAGAGAGTCCAGAGGAACGGCGGGCACCGGTAGTGATGCCTCGAGAAATGGCTCGACGCATTGTGAAGAGAAGAAGGCGGGGGAGGGGAAAGGGAGAGAGAGGTTAAGAAGGGGGAGCTCTGCTTGAGGACACAATTGGCAGACTAGAAACAGATGGTGCAACAGTTGTCGGTCAGTTCGTCCCTACTGCAATGCGCACTAGACAGAACCAATTATCAGCCACGTCGA